CCGCGGGCACAGATGCGGTGGGCGTCGGGGGAGACGTCGGCGCGTCGCCGGGGCCCCCCCGGGCCGCTGTCTCGGCCGCCCCTTCACGCCCGCTCTGACTTCGTGGGCAGCGCTCGCCCGTCTGCTGCCCCTCCGGGTCAGAAACCCCCGCGGATCCTCTGCTGACGGACCTGAGGAGACCCTCGGCCTCTGCCGCTCGGCCCGTCCACGGAGCCAGAAGTCGCGCGCGCTGTGCGGGACCAGGTTCTGGCCTCAGGTCCTCCACGGGCCAGTGGTTCTGGCCTCAGGTCCTCCGCGAGCTCAGAGAGACCCCAAAGAGGGTGACCAGAAGCTCCCTAAGTCGCCTCGCACCCCTGAAACATGCCGGATCTCCGTAGTCTTTTAGTGTCTACAGGTCCTCCCCACCGCCTCCTCCCACTTTGGAGATGTGTCTGCAGCTGCAGAGACGGGGCAGAGGCCGGCGAGCACACAGCGCCAGCCTTCAAGACCGCTCTTAGGCTCCAGTCTCAGCCAGGTGCAGTCATGCCCATCCCACACTGGGAAGCCCAAAGCCCCAAGTCATGTACAAAATGGCTGAGAGTCCGTCCCGGCTCAGGACGTGATTCTGCAGCCTGGCTCCGGCGAGGAGAAGGCCTTCATTCTGCGTGGGACCTGGTCCCACCCAACCCTCACACCTCTCTTTGCCGCCTGCCCCGCCCTCCTCCGCACCCCCCTCCAGAGCCATTTCTCGCTGGCAGTGACTCATGCTCCCTGCTTTTTGGCTGCGCCTTCTTCATCAAAATTTACCTTGTCCTGTGTTCCATTATCTCAGTGTCTTGCTCCCTGCTAATGGGAAAATGGGTGATAAATCGGTGTTAGCAGAAGAATGTGTTACTCCAGCTAGGTAGCACATTTGCATTGGACAAGGACATGCCGACCGCGCCTTCATGCAGAAGAGTGGCGGGCGGTGGTGGGAAATTTGGGCATCCAGGCAAGCTGGCTAAGGAGGTCAGAGGTCTCTGCTGAGCCTCTAAATCACAGCTCACGCCTGGGTGCCTGCATCTGCCACGATTTAATAATTTAATCCCTGGTTGTCCAGGCCAAGGCCGTCTACGCTAAAGACTGTGAGTCTCTCTCACATGAACTCAGGAGGTGGCATTCACCCCCGGTGGACATTTTAGGCCAAAGAGGAGGCCTCCCTTAAGGGGAGGAGGCGGGGTCTCTCCAGAAGGCTCAGCCACATCTAGGTCATATGGGTCAGGAATTAGAGGGTGGGGGAGGTGAGAGGGGAAGAGATCCCTCTGCCGTTTGATGGCCCCCTGGGGCCAGGCAGGGAGGCAAAGCGGAGGACGGTGAGTGAGATTTTGTGAGCCAGATGTCCAGCTGCCTATCCCTTTCTGAGTGTGCTTGCCCTTTGCCAGCCTCTTACCTGCAATAAAGTTCAGTATAAATGGTCCCGGCTTGCTCTCCGTTGTGCTGTAGACACTGGAAGAAAAAATGTGAATCCCCACATCATGCAGCCTTGGGTACATGCCTCGGTCTCCCCAACTGTAAATCGGGATATTTCTAGCCCACCTCATAAAGTTGTCATGAGAATCAAGCCTCTTAACGTGGGTAAATAGCCTTGTCCAGCACCTAATGAGTCCTCAAGACCTGGTGGTTGTGCCAGGCATGGTGGTTCATGCCTGTAATCTCAGCATTATTGGGAGGCTGAGGCAGGAGAATCACTTGATTCAAGGCTACTGCACTGCCAGCGTGGGCAACAGAGTCTCCGTCTCTAAAATAAACAAGCAAATAAATATGTTCAAGTACGGTGGTTATGATTTTGTGGTTAATGTGATTATTGTGGCTAATGCCGTTAGGGTCCTGCTCAGGTTCCCTCTCATTCGGTTTTCTTTTCTTTTCTTTTGTAATGGCTGCGGAATATTCTAGAACACGGCGGAGCAAGACAGAAGTAAGACAAGAGATGCCCTGGACAGCATCAGCACTTTGAAAGCTGTCCTTTAGCAGTGGATAAACATCCCCACTCCCTCTCCCTCAAAGTG